TGGGCGTCTGCAGGTGCCACCCCCCGGCTTTTGGCCATTCCGCCGCCTTCTGGTGCCTGCCAGCGCCTGTGCACGCGTGTGTGTGTGATGCCTCCAACACCCCAAGGGCCTGCTCTGTCCCATCCGTCCGTCGCAGCAGTAGGCCTCTGCCACCTGCTGTCTTCCCTGAGCAGGGCCGGCTGTGGGGTGGCAGCTGGGCCGTGGGTAGGAGCCACACGGCCTCTGCGGCTTGCGCCCGCCTCCTGCCAGCAGACGCCTTGGTAGTCGGGGCCACAGGGGCTCTCCGAGGACGGCCATCCTCCCTGGGGTGCACAGGGTCCCGGCGGTCATGGTCAGTGCCAGGGCCCGCCTGCTGCTGCCCCAGTGTCTGCTGATGGGCAGCCTCCGTGTGGACCCAAGCGTGTTGGTCACCAGCAGCCGCCTCTTGTGAAAGTCTTAGCACCGATCAGCTAAGGGAGGGGACAGCTGTCACCCAGATGTCACCATGAGCTCATGGCCTGTCCCTCCGTGTGCGTGCCATCCCCGCCTCCCCCCACGGGTCCCAGCCAGCGCTGTTCCCCGGTGGCTCTTCAAGTTGTCCGTTCTATCAACCTTTGTTTCTAAGATTTCAAATTCTTGGCTCCGCCTGCAACGCTGCATCTCCCATGGGCGCCAGATCGAGTCCCGGCTGCTCCACTTCCTTCCAGCTCCCTGCTGTGGCCTGAGAAAGCAGTGGAAGACGGGCCAAGTGCTTGGGCCCTGCACCCACGTGGGGACCCTGGGAGAAGCTGCTGGCTCCTGCCGGTCCCAGCCCTGGCCGCTGTGGTCGTCTGGGAGGTGAACCAGTGGATGGATGACCTCTTGGTCTCTAACTGCCTTTGAAATAGAAATAAATCTCTACTCTTTTTTAAATTTTAAAATTCATGTGAAAGGCAGAGAGAAACATCTTCCGCCTGGCGCTTCTCCCCAAATGCCCACAGTAGCCACCACATTCGCGGTAGCCTCCCAGAAGGCCCGGGAAGGCACCCTCACGCGGGACCTGGTCAGCTCCCTGCCTGCACAGGCCCAGGTCCCAGGGCCACCAGGAGGAGGGGGCCCGCAGGACCAACACGGTCCCCTGTGGCTTCCTGGTGACAGGTGAGGGTCATCCCTCCCACCTCCACCCAGCCCTGGACGGCCCCCTCCCCGGTCCTCTGCCGGGGGTCACTGCAGGCCCCCATCTTCTAGCCCTCCTCTCTGCTTCCCAGCACCATGCGCCTGCCGCGTGCCTGGGTCTGGGCTGGCGCCTGCCTGGCCAACATGTGTGAACTGGCAGCAGGCGGCTGCCCCTCGCCCAGTCCAGGGAGCAAACGGGGTGCACTGGGCCGCGAGGCCCCCTCCATCCTTGAACAAAACCACCTGGCCCTGCCCAGGCACACTGGGGTCCCCAGGGCCAGGGCTGTGGCCAGGGCGGGGCTCCCTGGGTAGGAGCCACACGGCCTCTGCAGCTTGCGCCCGCCTCCCACCAACACCGCCCCCCAGGTACAGGGAGGGGGGGGTCCCCTCAGCAGCCCCCGCTGTGGGGCCCGCCAGGATCTCCTGCTTGGGTGCGGGGCCATGAGCCTGAGCTGTCCTCCGCAGCCTTCCCAGGCGTGTGGGCAGGGAGCCGGACCGGAAGCAGAGCCGCCGGGACTTGAACCGGCGTCCCAGGCTCCGGCCCCCAGTCACAGCGTTGGCCCCCACTGGGGGCTCTCAGCGCCAGTGTTCCCTCTGCCGTCCGGGCCCCGGCAGGTCACCCGGCTCAGAGCCCCACCCCAGAGGTGCCCCCAGAGTCGGGGGTTTCTCGGGTGGGTTGTGGCTGTGGCTGTCTCCGCGGTTGCTGTGTGCTCTGCACATCCAGGAGCTCCGTGCAGACCCCAGGGCGGGCAGTGGCAGGGAACGTGGCCTGAGGCCAAGAAACCCCGGGGAGGCAGCGGCAGGCGGACATCACAAGTGTGCATCAGGCTAAGTCAGTGCGGATTCTCTGTGGGTCCCGTGTGATGCTGTGAATACCCGATGCCCCCGCCACGGCTATCGGGATGGGTGGGTTAAGGAGAGTGGCAGGTGTGACAGCCATCCCCCCAGGAAGGCGAGCAAAGCCCCCATCCTGCGGGCCAGCTGTGGGCAGTGGTGGTCAGCACACTCCAGGCTGCCCAGCTGCCGCGGGACTGCGCTGGCTGGGTGTGCAGTGCAGTGGCTCAGACCCGGAACCTCACAGAGACCAGGCTGCAGTAGGGCCACTGCCCACGGAGACCTGCGGCAGGCATGGTGGGCCTTGGGACAGGTCCTGGGAGCAGAGCCCTCGCGAGTGACCCTAGAGATGGTGCCTGGGCCTGGCCACAGCCCTCAGCAGAGCCCGCCCCCACCTGCTGCTGGTGCCCTGGGACACAGCTTCAGAGCTGTGAGTGGCAGGTCGTGAGTGTGCGCGTGCGTGAGCCACCTGGGCTGTGGCGTCTCCCCAAGGCCTCCTGGGACAGCCCCAACTGTTGTGGCCATTTGGGGAAAGAACCAGTGGATGGAAGGTCTAATTCTGCCTTTCAAATGTTCAAGGAATTATGGGGGCAGTGCTGTAGTCTATACGGGCGCCAGTTCAAGTCGCAGCTGCTCCACTTCCGACCCAGCTCTCTGCTATGGCCTGGGAGAGCAGTGGAAGATGGCCCAGGTCCTGGGCCCCTGCACCCACGGAAGCTCCTGGCTTTGGATGGGCGCAGCTCCGGCTGTTGTGGCTGTTTAGGGAGTGAACCAGCGGATGGAAGACCCCTCTCTCTGCCTCTCTTCTTTGTAACTGCCTTTCAAATAAATAACTAAATCTTGAGAAAAGTATTATTTGAAAAGCAGTTAGAGGGCCCCAGCACCTGGGCCATCCTCCACCGCTTCCAAGGTTCCGGACGTGGTACTTCCAAAGACACGTTTCCAGGTCAATCGTGCGGGACTCTCGCGCGCGGCCCTGCCCGCTGCGCCCAGGCGTGCGTGTGTCTCGTCCACTCTGGCGATCAGCATTTCCCAAGGCCTGAGACTTGACCGCCGTGCCCGCCTCCGGCCTCTGGCTCAGTGGGGGTTCTGTGCTGGGAGTGGGCCTGGAGAGCACCTTGTCGCCAGTCCTGACGGGACTTGTGCGCCCCCTGCTGAGACCCTGGGGTGTGGCGCAGAGTGCTGGGCACCAGGGCAGGGCGGCTGCCCACCCCGAAGACATTTCTGGGGGTCCCCCTGTGGGCCTGGCTGGGAAGCTGAAGTCGGGGGTCCCCCTGTGGGCTGTGCTGGAGGCTGAGGTCGGGATCTCTCAGTCTCTCCTGTCTCTTTCAAATAAATAAATCTTAAAAGAATGAAAGATTTTTATTTGAAAGGCAGTCACAGGAGACACGGAGATCGGCTGGCTCACTCTCCAGATGGCTGCCATGGCCAGGCCAAGACGGGGAGCCGGGAGCCAGGAGCTCCTCCGGGTCTCCCACGCGCGTGCAGGGGCCCAAGCACTTGGGCCATCTTCTGCTGCCTTCCCAGGCCACAGCAGGGGCTGGATCAGAAGAGGGGCAGCCGGGACTCAACCTGGTGCCCATGTGGGATGCTGGCACTGCAGGCGCCAGCCTAACTTGCTATACCACAGCGCTGGCATCTAAATAAAGCTGAAAAAGCTAAAAATAAAAAACAAAATAATTGAATTCCCTGAAGGCAAAGCTGCTGCTGGAATGGACACGCCCTCCCCCAGACAGGAAGATGGAACCCTGTTCAAGGCCCCCGGGCCTCGCGTGTGGAATACTTAGGGCCTGTATTTATGCACTAACAGCAGGATCGCTGTCTTGTTTCAAATTATTTTAAAGATCTGTATCTTGTTTGAAAGGCAGAGTGACGGGGAGAGGCAGGGAGAAAGGTCAGCAGAGACCTTTTCCGTCCGCTGATCCACTCCCCAAACAGCCACAATGGCCAGGGTGGGGCCAGGCTGAGGCCAGGCGCCCCTTCGTGGGTGCAGGGGCTCAGGTACTTGGGCCACCTTCTGCTGCCTTCCCAGGGAGCTGGACTGGAGAAGTGGAGCAGCTGGGACTTGAACCCAGCACCGACATGGGACGCTGGCCACACAAGCAGAAACAGGAGAGATCATCCATCTACCGGTTCACTCTCCAAATGGCCACAACGGTGGGGCCATCTTCCACTGCTTTCCCAGGCCATTAGCAGGGAGCTGGATAGAAGTGGAGCAGCCAGGACTTGAACCGGTGCCCCTGTGGGATGTCGGCGCTGCAGGCACTTACCTTCTACACCACAGCGCCGGCCGCCGGCCCCCAGCCCCCCGGTGCACGTGCATACCCCTTGCTGAGACCTCCCTGGCCGCCCACTTCCACCGGACCAACACAGAGACGCCCCTCCCCACCCCTCATCTATCACACCCTGCTCCAGCCCCCTCGGCTGCCTCACCCCCGTGTGCTGCCCGCATCCCACATGGGCACCAACTTGGGTCCCGGCTGCTCCACTTCCCATCCCGCCCCTGCTCGTGTGCCTGGGAGACCGGGAAGCGGCTCCTGGCTTCAGCTGTCGCAGCCACGTGGGGAGTGAACCAGCAGATGGAAGAGCTGTGTCCCCTTCACCTCACCTTTCAAATAAATAAATCTTTAAAAAAATAAAAGCTGAGATGCCCAGGAATCCTGCCGGCTCGGCTCGTGGGAACCACCCCACAGATCCCTGGCGGAGGGGTCACAGCTTTAAACCAGCCGCCAGCCCCACGTCCCCGGCTGAAGGAGCCCCTCCCGCTCGTTCCTGCACCTCCCGCAGCTCCCCCCTGTGCGCTCAGGGCAGCCAACACCCCACTGTTGCACCCTCACTCATGGACCTTAACCCGACCCCCGACCCCCGTCTCCCACACACTGTGACAAGCCCCGCGAGTCCCAGGGACGCCTGGGCTGGGGGCCACGTCCGCGGGCAGCGGCCAGGACCTGGGGGTCCGGGTGCGGAAAGGCGGCCTGGGGATCCAGACGGGCCGTGACCCCAGGTGGGGAGCAGGCAGCGGCACCAGCGAGGCCACGAAGGCTCTTTTATTTCTGCAGTATCAGTCCATACAAAAGCACAGAACGTAACATCCGAACAGCAAGTTTACAACTGAATACCTGAACGGAAACTGTACACGGCGTCACTCACAGCGACTTGCAAGGCCAACGACCGTCAGGAGTTCCGAGTCCCTCTGCTGCCTCAACTCGGAGTACTGGGTCGAGAGCTGGCCGAGCACCGGTACCAGTACCCGAGCACTGCGTACCAGTACCAAGGGAGGACTGCAGCTCACACGGGCCCGGCCCTCAGGCCTGGACGCCGGCACTCGCAGGCGCGCGGTGCCAAGGGGATGCTCGCGGCGTCTGCACTGCCAGATCCCGGGGCGGACACTGCGCTCGGCTGGTCCTGTGAGCCCGGCAACAGCCCCGCCCCCACCCGCCCGACGGGCCGCAGCCGCGGTGGCCGCCGTGGCCGCCGGTGGACCCACTCGCCAGCTCAGCCTGGGAGAGCAGACAGCAGCAGTTCCGTTGAGACGACCCCCGGCTCTGCCGCACTTGCAGTGGGAACACGCGGAACGCACCACACACACAATGAACGGGTCTGAAGAAAAAAGATTCATGAGTCACCTAGACGGAGCCCAGCAGCCAGTGCGCAGCGGGCTGGCGCTCAGCTCATGGTGGAGAAGTCCCTCAGGGGCTCCGTGAGGCAGGCCTCCAAGTCAAACTCGTCCTCCAGCTGGCGGTCCACGTGCCGGACCTTGGTGGGCGTGCCGCGGTACGTGTCCTGGAAGACAGAGCCGGGTGACGGCGCGCCAGAGGGAAACGCCACCCCACTCCACCCCAGCTCCCCTCCCCCCAGGGCCACCACTCTCCTCCCCTCCCCCCAGGGCCACTCACTGAGCCACAGCCACCTCCCCCAGCAGGAGCCAACGTGAGGGTGTGACGAGGGTGTGACAAGACACCTCCAGGGGTCGGGGGCAGAATCACAAGTGGGCTCAGCCCAGGGGACCAGCCCAGCTCTGGCGCCTTCTCAACACCTCACACCCGGGGGACACCGAGGAGGCCAGCATCCAGTGTGCTCCCCTGAGCTGACACTGGGGCCACGCCCACCGCGCACACAAGCTTGGGTCCAAGACAAAGTTCCGGTGCACACAGTTCTGGATGCGGAATCCCACAGGGCCAGGAAAACCACGAACAGCTCTCTTGGGCGCGACTGTTTAAACTGAACTATTCCTGCGCTGCTTCCGTCAACAGACTTTTGCATATCTAATTAAAACCCTGAAAAGCCACACACTCAAACATCAAGGTTTACAAGCAGGGGGTTCAGATAATCTTGAAGGTCAATGTTTTGCCAACCAAAACCCAGGTTTCACTATGAATGCGAACAACAAAGTTCCTGTTCTGCACGAGAGAAATCTGGTGGAACCACCAGAAAAAGCTCCAACCCTCCCCCACCGCTGAAGCAGCCTGAAACCCCCACTCCCGCCCAGCCCAGCAGCTCCAAGGCGACGCACACACCTCCACAGAACCAGCCTGGAGGTGAGTCACACGCGGTCCCCGACTGAGCCAGACCACAGCGCTGGGACCCGCCCGAGAGCATCCTTAGCCCGAGACAACAGCACCGAAGCCGCGGCACCGCCCAGTGGGCGCACGCCCGGACACGCAGCAGGGTGCAGACCTCTGTCCAGTGGCCGCAGGCGCACGCCCGGACACGCAGCAGGGCGCGGACCTCTCGGGACACTTCTGCGGGGGTACCACTGCCCAAGCGTCCACGGCACCCAGACATCCCGGGACTGCAGCCACGCTCACCCCACCCCACCCCGCGTGAGCAGCAAGCCACCTGTCCTTCAACGGGAGCGGGGAAAGCTGCCGTCGGCCCACACGGGCACCAGCGGAGCTGCTGCGGCCTGGGAGAGCAGATGGCGGCCCTGCACCACGCGGGAGACCCAGAGGCTCCTGATCGGCTCAGCTCTGACCGCTGCGGCCACCTGGGGAGTTAGCAGATGGACAGAAGACCTCTCTCTCTCTCTAACTCTGCCTCTCAAGTAAATAAAATCTTCAAAGAAACCCTGACAACGCAGGGAAAATCTCAGGCACAAACACACCCCCGCTGTCAGGACCTGCAGGTGGCTCCGGACACAGCCCAGTGACAGCGCGCGCGAAGAGGCGAAGACGCTGGACCAGACGCAAGGACCCCCCCACGACAACAGCGGAACAGACTGGACAGTGAAGCCTACAGAGGCTGCCCGTGAGAGCTGAGCCTGCGGTGCCACCTGCCGCCTCAGTGGCGGGAGACGGGGCGCCCTCATCAGTCTCCAGGCCGCGGACGGAGCCAGGACATACGTACAGAGTCAGCCTGGGAGCTCGACTGGGACCCGGAGCTCTCTGCAGATCCCGTCTCCACGTCCCCGAGGTCTACGGGGTGTCTGCCAAGAGAAACCAACAGGCGCGTCAGCTGCCGTCCGACCGGTGCACCTGCGCCATCACGCGTCCCGAGGCGCCGGCTCTCAGCTCTCAGCCGCGCGGCACGCCAGACCCCGCCCGAGGCGTGGCGGCACCACACGGCCTCCAGTGGCGCACGTGATGATGGGAGTCCTGGTTCCGCGGGCAGCCGCTGAGGAACCGGCAAGAACCCAAACACCGGTGAGCACGAGCTGCGAGGCCAGGGCCAGCTGTGGCACACCCGGAGTCGCCTCGCCTCGCCACGGCGCCACAGCAGCCCCATCGAGCAGAAACAGCTTCAACCCGCGAGCGCCTCACCGAGCTCCCAGCAGGCAACGCGCTTCGTGGGCGAGCGAGGAGAAGAGGGCAGCAAGCACAGCCATGCCCGCCTCCCTCACCCTGCAGCTCTGCCTTTCACATCAGTCAATCGGCGTCCTAACCAATCATACACACGTTTCTCTCGCTGGGAACATCACGACATCGAGCGGGCCAGCCCTGGGCCTCGTCCTGCGTCAGAGGTTGGCTCCGCTCCTGCCCTTTTCTGACCACCCGAGACCCGCAGAGTCCTGGGCTTCGGATCTGACCTGGCCCAAGCCCTGCTGTGTCAGGCAGGTTCAAGCCCCGGCTGCCCCTTCCCATTCGGCAGAAAGCAGCGCGGCCACACGTTCCTAGACACGCCAAGTGCTCTATTCCAGCCCCACGACGTGAGCCCGACCCCAGGCTTCCGCCCTGAGGACTCCCAGGACCCCAGCGAGGCAGCGAGCCGCCCGAACAAGGCGACGGACACACACATTTCCTGCAGGTCACAGCCTTCTTCAGCCGGGGGGTCCCAGAAATGCAGCGCCACCTTCCAGAGTCTGATCTGCTGGTCCCACGACCGTCGGCTGTACTTCTTGAACTTGTTGGGGGTCTTGGGATGAACGCCAGGCTGCCGCAGGTGTCTACAGGAAAGAGAGCGCAGTGCCAGGACCTGCCAATCGCGGCAGCACGCGGGGAGGGACACACCTACAGCCCGAGGAGCGCCGCACGTGAAAAGCAGTCTGCCCGAGTCTCACTTTCTCGCCCAACCCGCCAGGAGCGGAGCTCTCCTTGGGCCTCCGTGCCTGCAGGGCAGGGGCGGCGAGACCAGCTGTGTGGACGAGGCGGTGACGTCGCTCCAGGGCCAGACCTCTGCGGTGCCGAACGTGAACTCCCAGCCCTTCTTGGCCTGCACTCGCGCGCCCCTCGCCCTCCCCGGCAGGGGCTCTGTCTGGGCAGCCGCAGGGCCAGGCGGCGCCGGCTCCTACCTCGGCACCTCTTTCACGTAGCGGTCGTAGGCGATCGTGTTCTTCCCGTAGTTGATCTGCTTCTGCCTCCTCATGAGGACGCTCTCGTCGGTCTCCAGGTCGGCCGGCACCGCGGACACGGACTCCTTCGAGTCAGAGCTGAGAGCAGAGGAAGCCTCGCTGTGGGGACTGTGCGAGCCGAGCCCGGAACTGGCGCGCGGCAATGCAGGCCCCCCCCAGCCTCACGGTGGCACCCACCGCCGCCCCGGCTGCCTCCGCCCACCAGAGCGGCAGACGCGGCACTCACCTCCCGGAGGACGACTTCCTCTCTCTTCCGAAGTCATTGATGAGGAGTTTCCTCTTATACCTGAGAGAAAAACACACACTGCGGCTTCCACCGAGGCCGGAGGTCCTCGGCAGGGAACTCCTGGAGGCTGTGCAGGCCGGCAGCGGCCCCGCGGGCGGGTTAAGCTGCCCCGTCCCACACCCGCCTCCCACACCGTGGTCCCGGCTGCTCCACTTCCAGCCCAGCTCCCTGCTGACGCGCCCGGGAAAGCAGCAGACGCCGGCCCAAGTTCCTGGTCCCTGCACCCACGTGGAGACCAGGATGGAGTTCCTGGCTCCTGGCTTCAGCCTGGCCCAGGCCCAGCGACTGCGGCCCTCCGGGGAGTGAGCCAGCAGGTGGAAGACGTCTGTCTCTCCCGTCATCCTGCCTTTCAAGTCAATCTTGAAAAACGCAGAGTTAGAGGGAGAGATGACACAGAACCTCCACCCGCTGGTCACTCCCCAGATGGCCACACAGTGGTCGGAGCTGGGCCAGTCCAAAACTGGGAGCCAGGAGCTTCTCCCAGGTCTCCCGTGGGTGCAGGGGCCCAAGCACCTGGGCCATCTTCTACTCTTTCCCAGGTGCTTTAGCAGGAAGCTGGATGGGAAGCGGAGCAGCTGGGACTCGAACCAATGCCCACATGGGATGCCGGCGCCACAGGCAGCGGCTTTACCAACTGTGCCACGGTGCTGGCCCCGAAATAAAGTTTTCCTGGCTCCTAGCTTGGGCTCAGCCCAGGCTGCTGCAGTCACCTGGCGTGAGGAAGCAGGTGGAAGTGTCTGTCTTTCAGATCAGTGAGTCCAGGGAGAGGCTGCAGACAGCCCCTGGCGGCGGGGGAGGGGCCGCAGACAGCTCCACGTGAGAACACAGAACCCGCAGACAGCCGGACACCCTGGCTGTGCAGCTGAGCCCTGCACCAACACAACTCCGTCACCCCGGCCACATCCACGTGCTGACACTTAGAGTGGCCCTGTAGGTCCCGTGACCAAGTCCCAGCTCTCCGAGGTGACAACAGGAGCACAGCCCCGCCTGCCGGGCACGAGGACACTTTTCCCAAAGTGAGAACCCGGCTAAGACACTCACTGTCCAGCAGCTCACAACCTCAGTGTGGCCCATCACAGAGCTCACCCAGCCGCGTCTCAGTGGGGGGAAGGGACCCAGACAAGGACTGGGCTGCCTGGTAACGGGTCACACAGCTCAGAGCTCAGCTCTGCACACGCTGCCCGCCTGGCGGCCCCTCCCACACCCAAGGACCACCCAGGACACGCAGGGGACAGACGCCCCCAGGGCCGCCGGCGGCACGGCTGGCCCCCGACACGCCCCCAGGCAGACCCGCAGGTTACCTTGCCATCTCCTTGTTGACTCTGGTCCTCATTTCATCCTCTTCCACTGCGTCTGCCCAGTCCGAGCATCTAGGGTAGGGTTTGGGGCCTTCAGGGGTAGTAAAGCTGCAAGCCAACGAGAACGCGCGGTTCAAGCGCGGCTCACGGGCCGGCGCCGTGGCGCAGGTTAGGCCTCACCTGCGGCACCCACCTCCCAAACGGGCCAGCTTGGGTCCGGGCTGCTGCACTTCCCGGCCAGCTCCCCGCTAACGGCTGGGAAAGCAGCGGAGGACGGCCCAGTGCTTGGGGCCCTGCACCCACGTGGGAGGCCTGGGTGAAGCTCCTGGTTTTGGATCAGCCCAGATCCAGCCATTTAGGGAGTGAACCAGCAGATGGGAGACCCTTCTCTCTGCCTGTTAGTAACTCTGCCTCTCAAACAGAACTTAAAGGGGGAGGGGGAGTGCGACTCTGTGGCACAGCGGGTAAAGCCGCAGCCTTGGTGCCGGCATCCCATAGAGTCCTGGCTGCCCCTCTTCCGATCCAGCTCTGCTCTGGCCTGGGAGAGCAGTAGAAGATGGCCCAAGTGCTTGGGCCCCTGAACCAGTGTGGGAGACCCAGAAGAAGCTCCTGGCTCCTGGCTCTGATTGGCTCAGCTCTGTCTGTTGTGGCCAATTGAGGAGTGAACCAGGGGATGGAAGACCTCTGTCTCTACCTCTCCAACTCTTTCAAATAAACAAATCTTTATAAATAAATTAAAAAATCCTTAAAAGGGGGGGGGGCCTAGCACTGTGGTGCAGTGGGTTAGACTTCTCCCTGTGGCACTGGCATCCCATGTGGGCACCAGTTTGGGTCCCAGCTGCTCCTCTTCCGACCCAGCTCTCTGCTGTGGCCTGGGAGAGCAGTGGAAGATGCCCAGGTCCTTGGGCCCCTGCACCCACGTGGGAGACCTGGAAGAAGCTCCTGGCTCGGGATCAGCACAGCTCTGGCCACTGCGGCCATGGGGGCCATCTGGGGAGTGAACCAGAAGATGGAAGACCTCTTTGTCTCTCCAGCTCTATCTCTTGAATAAATAAATCTTTAAAGAGAAACACGCTTTAAAAAAAAAAAATGGAAACAGGACCCACCTTCCCTGCAGAATCAGCGTCAGGACTCACGCAGAGGCTGCTGGGCAGAGGTCCAGGGAAGACTGAGAGAATCTCTGCTCCCGGCCTCAGCCTGTGCCCACGACAGCAAAGGCAGACAACAGCAACCGCGCTGTCGGCACCCGACACCACTTGTTCTCTTACTCAAAGTGAACAACTATTTTCAGGTTTTTTTTTTTTTTTTTTTTTTTTTTTGACAGGCAGAGTGGACAGTGAGAGAGAGAGACAGAGAAAGATCTTCCTTTGCCGTTGGTTCACCCTCCAATGGCCGCTGCGGCCGGCGCACCACGCTGATCCGATGGCAGGAGCCAGGAGCCAGGTGCTTTTCCTGGTCTCCCATGGGGTGCAGGGCCCAAGCACCTGGGCCATCCTCCACTGCACTCCCTGGCCACAGCAGAGAGCTGGCCTGGAAGAGGGGCAACTGGGACAGAATCCGGCACCCTGACCGGGACTAGAACCTGGTGTGCCGGCGCCGCTAGGCGGAGGATTAGCCTAGTGAGCCGCGGCGCCGGCCTATTTTCAGTTTTCTATAACAGATTTCGGGGGGGGGGGGGGCAGCACCCAGACACTGCCTGTGATACCACCGTCCCATCTGGGCGCCAGTTCGACTCCCGGCTGCTCCAGTCGGATCCAGCTCCCTGCTAATGGCCTGGGTAAAGCAGCAGGTGGTGGCCCGAGAACTTGGGTCCCTGCACCCCCGTCAGAGACCCGGATGAAGCTCCTGACTTCTGCCCAGCCCCAGCTGCTGCAGCGTCTGGGGAGTGAACCAGTGAACGGAAGCTTTCTCTCTCTCTGGAACTCCTCCTCGCTTGGCAGCACGCGGTGAGGATGCGGGGTCGGCACTGTGGCACCGCAGGGTAAGCTGCTGCCCGCAGCACCAGCATCCGCGAGCCCCAGGGTTCCACGTGACCTGGTTCCCTGCTAAGTAACGCGCCCGGCAAAGCCGCAGAAGACGGCCACGTGCTTGGGCCCGTGTACACATGGGAGACCCAGAAGAAGCTCCTGGCTCTCCTGATTGGCTCAGCTCTGGCTGAGGCCATTTGGGGAGTGAACCAGCGGATGGAAGACCTTCTGTCTCTGCCTCTCACTGTAACTTTCCCTTTCAAATAATATTCCAAAAAAAAAAAAAAAAGACAAAGTTCCGTGTCATGCAAATATCGTGACACCCAGGCAGTTTTCCGTGATACGCAGATGTGTGACTCCTGAGACCCCGGGTACGCAGAGCGACCGCCTGGAAGCCTGGAAGCCTGGAAGCAGGGATCAGATGCGTCACGGGGCGTGAGGGGCGGGGTGGGGCCGCACAGCACATTCCTTGTGCCTCCCTCGCTCCCCTGGAAGAGGAGCTGCGGCCGCAGGGCTCAGCCTCCCCCGGAGCTCAGGTTTACCCTGACCTCAAGGAAACATTTAGCCAAGGTCAGACAACCTGAAAACAACACTTGACGGAGGGGCCGGCGCTGTGGTGGAGCGGGTAAGGCCGCCACCTGCCGTGCCAGCATCCCATATGGGGCCGGTTCGAGTCCTGGCTGCTCCGCTTCCCATCCAGCTCCCTGCTGTGGCCTGGGAAAGCAGTAGAAGACGGCCAAGTCCTTGGGCCCCTGCACCCACGTGGGAGACCTGGAAGGGGCTCCTGGCTCCGGATCGGCCCAGCTCCAGCCGTTGTGGCCAATTGAGGAGTGAACCAGTGCATGGAAGACCTCTCTCTCTCTCTCTCTGCCTCTCCTCTGTGTAACTCTGCCTCTCAAATAAATAAATAAATCTTAAAAAAAAAAAAAAAAAAGCCTCGACGGGTCAAGTCCTGGCGGGTGGAATTGCCACGTGTGTCCTCACAGATCCCAGAGCAGGGGTGACCGCGCACTTCTGTTTTCCTCCTCTTTCTTCTATGGCCACTAGCGACCCAACACCTGCCGCCACGGGTGGGCAGGGGGCACCGTGGGTGCCCAGGACCGAGCCCCACCCCTGCTTCCCCCAGCCTCCTGCCAACACGCCCAGAAGCAGCTAAGAGCCAAGGGTTTGGGTTCCCGGCTCCGACTTGCAGGGGGGCCCAGTCCTGGCTCCTGTGGCATCTGGGGAGACCTGGTGGACGGGAGAGCTTTGTCATTCTGCCTATCTCCGCCCATCCGGGAGACCCGGTCTCCCCGCTCAGCCTGGCCCAGGCCTGGCTGCTGGCGTCGTTTCGCGCGTGACCAGGAAGCTCCGACCTCTGCCGCTGTGCCTCAAGCTTCGACTCAAGCGGCGGACAACCCCTTCACGTAGCTACGTCTCCCTCACCACACACCGTCTCCCCTCACCACACACCGAAACGGAATTTCCACAAGTCCAACTCCAGGTCCCAACACGGCGGGAAAGGCCTGGCATCAAATTCAGGACTTACTGGCGGCGGAACTGGGGACGCGCCCAGCCGGCCACTCAGGAGCCCGCGTCCCCGCGCCAGAGGGCCTGGGCCTGGGCCTGGCCGCTCCCCATCCAAACGCCCAGGGCTCTGGGAGGCAGCACAGGGCTGCGCCGTCCACGCGGGCAGCTGGCTCCGGCCTGACCCACGCAGGGCTGGCGCAGGCATCTGGGGGTGAGCACTTCTCTCTGCTTCTTCACTTCGCCCCTTTTATAAAGACTTGCTCGTTCACTGGAGAGGGGAGTCACTGACAGGCCTCCCCTGCGCTGGGCCACTGCCCCCGCTGGCTGCCTGAGCCAGGCTTCTTCCCGCCTCCCGCCCAAGCACCTGGATCCTCCGCTGCTCTCCCAGGCCACAGCAGGGAGCCGGGTCGGAAGTGGCGCAGCCGGGACTCAAACCGGCACCCACAGGGGACGGCGGTGCCGCAGGCGGAAGCCCACCTACCACGCCACAGCACCCACCCCTCGCCTTACTTGAAAGATCTCCTGTCCAGTAGCTCGCCCCCCAAACGGCCGTGCAGCCGGGGCTGGGCCAGGCCAGAGCCAGGAGCTTTCCTGGGTCTCCACGCCCTCGCCAGGGGTCCCTGTAGGTGGGCCGTCCTCCACTGCCCCCCCAGGCCACAGCAGGGAGCCGGGCCTGATCGGCGCCCCCATGAGGTGCTCCCGCCGGCCACCCGACCCCTGCGCTGCCCTGCCTTTGAGACAAAACGCTTCAGGAAGAAAAAAAGGGAGCTCCGCCGCAGGCACGATGCGGGGAGGCTTGCGGGAAGCGGGGCACACGCATCCCCGCCGCCGTGTGCTCAGGCTCAGCTCTGGGTCCTGCAGCCACGACCCCCAGCGCCCGGAGTCCGACGGCCCACGGAGCCTCCTGCGACCCGGCATCCCGAGGGCGCCGCGGGCCTGGGAGAGCAGCTGCAGCCGCCCGAGGGCCCGCCCCGGCCTCTCGCGGAGCGAGACGGGGGGCGCAGGGGCACCGCGCCCCGCCAGCTCTCAGGGGACCGAGGCTAAAGCCGCTTTGCCCCGCCCGGCCCCGGGCGAACGGCTCCACGGGCCCCGCGCGCTGGCAGGGGCGTGACGCCCCCCGCGCCCCCGCCCCGCCCGAGGGCCTCACGGCTTCCGCGTCACCCAGCCTCCCAGGGCCCCCGAGGCACCGCGGCCCCCGGCCTCGCCCTCCCGCCCGGAAGCAGCTCCAGGCGTGGGGCGCGCACGGGGGCCGGGGGGCTTCCGCCTCGGGCTGCGCCCCGGCCCCGACCCCGGCGCGCCGCGCCCCCAGGCCGCACCTCTCGGGTCTGCGGTCGGCGCCCCGGCGCTCGCCCTCGTCGGCGTCCTCGGGCCTCCAGCGCCTCCCGTCGGCTCTGCGCTTCCGTCCGAGGCTCCACCTCGCGGGGGACGGCGGGCTGCGGACACAGGCTGCGGTCAGCACGCAGGGCCCCGGCCCGGCGGCCCGAGCCCCCAGCCCCGCGGCCGCGCGGCCTGCCTCACCTGGCGCCCCCGTCGCAGCGGCCGCCGTACCTGGGGGGCGTTCGCGGCTGGCAGGCCATGGCGGCGGCGGCGGCGGCGGCGGCGGCGGGCGGGCGGCGCGCGGGGCGGCGGCGGCGGGAACGGCACGGCCGGCCTCTCCCGCGGCGGCGCTGACACTCTGCGCGCGCCCCGCCCCCAACCGCCTTTAAGGGGCCGCTGGCCCCGCCCCTCGGCGCTCCCGCGCGCGCCGGACGGGCGAAACCATCGGGCCCGCCGGCGGGGGAGCCTCGCGGGCCCACTGCTTGGGCTGCGGACCCCGGACAGCGGGGAGCCTGGAGACCTCGCGGCTGGGCACCGCCACCTGGACAGACGCGTCGGCCCGGCCACTGAGGAGAACCCTGAGGAGCAGCTTGCCCCGCCACGACATGGAGGCGGCCGGCCGCCGCGGACCCCTCGGACGTTGATTGGTCGCGCCTTCGCGGGCGCAGTGTTATTGGCGGGAGATTCAGTAGCGCGCGCGACGAGGGCCCCCCCCATGGAAGGGGGGGGCAGGAGAACGCGCTTCCTATTGGTCCCCCCCTGGGCGTGGACGCCCCTTTGATTGGTCCGGACCCGGGCGAGGCGTGTTGCCGATTGGCTTGTCTTCGCGGGGGGCGTGTCCCGGCACCGGCGGGAACCGGGAACCCGGAAGGCACGGACAGCGCCCTCTCGGCGCGGTGTCGGGCGTCTTGACGGGGCGTCTCGGAGCGGCGACCGTCGACCGCGCGGCGGCCACCTCAGACGCCCCCCCCGTGTCCCCGGCTGCGCTCGGCACCTCCGGCCACCCCGCACGCAGCGCTGGGCCCCGTGTCGCCGCGTCCCGCACCCTCGCCCGGGGCAGTGTCCCCGTGTCCCCCACCCTCGCCCGGGCGCACTGGTGGGCGGGGGTCCCCGAGCCGCGTTCCGTCGGAGAGAGACGAACAGCCACCTCCGGCTAAGGGTTTATTAGGCCGTGCCCTGCCGCGTACAACCAGCGAACTCTCTAGAAAGAGTGCCCCTGGGCAGCCGCGTCCCGGTCCCCGAGCTCGCCCCGCTGGAGCCGGGGCCGGGGGCCGGGCTGTGAGGGTCCCAGGCCCTGCGGCAGCAGCGCCGCCCCTCCCCACCCAGCGGGGACCCGCAGCGCCCGCGCCCCTCCCCCAGGCCCGAGAACCGGCCTGCGCCAGCCCCGGGCGCCCCGCGGCGCTCAGCGCACGCAGCACACGTCCAGGATGCAGAAGCGCGCGCGGCAGGTGGGGCAGGGCGCGCGGCTGGCCAGCCAGGTGTCGGGGCGCTGCGGGTCCTGGCGGCTGGCGAACCACTTGCCCATGCAGGTGAGGCACCACATGGGGCGGCAGGAGCACTGCTGGCACTCGCCGGCCGCCGCGTCCTGACACGTCTTCACCAGCTTCACGGCCGCGCGCGCCTGCATGCAGCCGATGCAGGCCTCCAGCTCCTGGGGACACGGGGGTGGCAGGGAGCCCGGGCCGCCGCGCCGCGCCGCCCCCGCCCCCGCGCCCGCCCGCGCCCGCGCCGCCCACCTGGCTGCTGGGCACCGCGTAGGCCGGGTTCACCTCCACCAGCGAGGCGAAGGTCTCCAGGAACAGGTCGCCCAGGCTCTGGCGGATGACCACGTGCGCGGCGCTGCGGATGGGCGCGCGCAGCTTCTCGCACAGCTCCCCGTACTCGGCCGAGTTCAGCCTGCGGGAGGCCAGGCCTGCTGGGCCGGGGGCGGCGGCAGAGCGGCCCGCGGAGGGGCAGGGCGGGGACCCCGGGGCCCCGCGCGCTTACCGGATGTCGAAGGGCGGCACGGCGGGGCTGGCGCTGGCCACGCGGATGGTGAGCAGCTGCACCGGCAGGTTGGAGTCCGGGGACAGCTCGTGCTGCCGGGACTCGGTCACGGTCAGGTGCACGTCCTGCTGCCGCGCCACGTGCACGCGGTACGTGGTCACCTTCATCACCCACGTGTCCGTCACGATCACGCGCGCGCCCGGCGCCCCGGTGGCGAACTTGTCGATGCGCCGGAACTCGGTGTCGACGGAGGCGGCGACGGCACCCCAGCCCGAGCGCGGGAGCGCGTACCGCGCCAAGGAGCGGGCCAGGGGGTGGCGCGCCCAGCGGTCCCGGGACCAGTAGCACACCACGGCGCAGGCGGCGGAGGGCAGGGCGACGGCCAGCAGCAGGAAGAGCCGCCAGGCCTCGGGGGCCTGGCTCGGGGAGTGCAGCCGCTTGTCCCAGGCCGCGAAGCACATGCCCACGTAGTAGCCTGCAGGGGGCACGCGCTCAGGGGGCTGCGCTCGGGTAGGGGAGCCGCGCGGCTCGGCCTGGCCCTGCGCCCTGGTCACCTCCGCAGGCCTAACGCCGCAAAAACCCAGAGACGCACGGCGCTGACCCCCGGTCTCGCGGCCCTGGCCACAGACCTGAGACTGACCGGACCGGGAGCGGACGGCGGGGCCACTGTGTGGGCGTCCCCGGCTCCCGGCTGCTGTGGGCGAACCAGCAAACGAGGCTCTGTCGCTCTCACGAAAGGGAAACACGTGAGTCCTGCATGGGCCGCACGGGCAGGTTCCGGTCCGCAAAGCGGTGGCTAAAGGCCTCTGGTTGGCCAGCCGCAGGGCCGTGCGCAGCGCGCTCCAGCAGCGGGCAGGTTCGCAAGCCTACAGGTGTCCGAGGCGCAGCCCTGGGCTGGGAGGACGCGCGCACCTGCCCGCCACCCGCCTGGCCCCCAGGGCCTCCCCTCCCCCAGTGCCCACCGTGCACCCCACGCCTGCCTTCAGGGCCCGCGGCAAGGCCGCCGTCTCCACGCGCTAACCGCTGCCCATCCCGTCCAGCCGGCACCCCGGTGCCAGCCGAGCGCGCTCCGCAAGCGGCCCGGCCCGGGCTGGGCAGGGGCCGGGGCTGGGCCGATCGCCTGGGCCCCCCGCGGGCCCCGGGGTGCGGGCTCGGCCTGGCCGGGGCGGGGCGCTCACCCAGCGGCAGCAGCGAGTGGCACAGCAGCGTGGCGGCCGTGCGGCGCAGGTGGTAGGGCACGAAGGCGGCGTCCTCGCTGCCCAGCCAGCCGGACAGCAGGTTCTGCACCGTGAGCCCGGCCGAGTGGAACTCGTTGGGCGTGAACACGAAACACACGGCGAAGACCAGGTAAGCTAGCGTGAAGGTCACCTCGGGGCTGTCCATCGTGCCGCCGGCGCGCAGCGGCCACGGATGGGCGCCGCTGCCGAGTCCGGTAACCCGGCCACTCGGTCGTGGCCAACACAAGCCGGACGTCCGCGGCGGCGGCCCCTAGGAGATGGAGTCCCAGACTGGGTCGCCCGCAGGGCCCTCTGGGAAATGGAGTCCGTGACCAGGCCGCCTGCGGGGCAGTCTGGGAGATGGAGTCCCAGGCCGCGTCTCCCGCAAGGCCCTCTGGGGGATGGAGTCCGCGGCCAGGCCTGCCCGCGAGGCACTCTGGGAGATGGAGCCCCAATCGGGCCGCCCGCGGGGCACTATGGGAGATGCAGTCCTCACTCGGCCCTCCCGCGGGGCACCCTGGGAGGCGGACTCGGCGCTCCGCGCCCAGACGGAAGTGGGGGGCAGCAGCGACGGCGCCCCGGGGTGCGGCCACGTTCAACCTCAGACCCCGGACGTGGCGCTGCTCCCGGTCCCGCTGTACCGCTGGAGGAACCTAGGCCCAGGCGGCTTCGCAGGCGTCGCCCGCGACTGAGCCCGGGGACGCCAGGGCGATGGCGGGCCTCACAGTCACTGTCCCCCCGAAGGTGACCCTAGGCCTGCCCAGCCTCGTCAGCGCCCCAAGGCCCCAGAGCCCCGCGCGCCGCGCCCACAGCGGAACTGCCGCCGCTCGGGGGCGGGGCCTCCCATTGGCCGCCGCTGCCCTGCGGTCCCGCCCCCGGCCGCGCGCTGATTGGCCGCGTGGAGCCAACAGTCAGTATTTGAATCCGCCGGCGCGGCGGGCGGGAGCGCGGCGGCCGCGGCGTCTGATCCGAGTCCTCGGCGCGGAGCTAGCGGCGGCGGCGCGGGCCTGGCGCCCGGCAGCGAGCGGGCAGGTAGGTTGCGGCTGCCGGGCCCCGCACGGCGTGCGGCCGGGCTGAGGGGGCCGTGGGCCCGGCCCGGGGGCTTCGCCGGGGCCCTGCGCGGGCGGGCTGGCTGGGGGCGGGGCGCGCGCTCCCGCAGCCTCGCTCCTCCCGCCGCGTCCTGCGCCTCCGCCTCCGAGACGCCTTCCCGACCCCTGCCGCTTCCCGCAGGCCCGTGTCCTCGGCTCCGCGCCCCCGCAGGGCGACGCGCCTGGCGCCCGGGGTGTCTCGGGCTGGGTTAGAGACAGGGCCCCCGACAGCCGGGGCGCCCCCCGATGGCCAGAGCAGCCCGGCGGGTGCTGGTGGCTGTGCCCTGGTCTCCCCCCCCCCCCCGGGGACTGCGCCCTGGTCTCCCCCTGGGGGCTGCATCCTGGTTCCCCCCCGGGGGACTGCGCCCTGGTCTCCCCCCCCGGGGGACTGCGCCCTGGTCTCCCCCTGGGGGCTGCATCCTGGTTCCCCCCCCCGGGGGGCTGCGCCCTGGTCTCCCCCTCCCCCCCGGGACTGCGCCCTGGTCTCCCCCTGGGGGCTGCATCCTGGTTCCCCCTCCGGGGAGCTGCGCCTTGGTCTCCTCCCCCCGGGGCTGTGCCCTGGTCTCCCCCCCCAGGACTGCACCCTGGCCTCCCCCCCGGGGCTGCGCCTTGGTCTCCTCCCCCCGGGGCTGCGCCCTGGTCTCCCCCCCCACGGGGGGCTGTGCCCGGTCTCCCCAGGGACTGCGTCCTGACTCCAAGGTGACTGCGCCTTGGCCGCATGGGCGGGAGGGCAGCTGGGTAAAGCGGAGCCCCCAGCCACGGCCAGGCCCCCGGTCGAGATGTCTCCCCCAGCCCTGCCTGCGCGGCGCTCCCACGGGGAAGCTGGTCAGCCTGCAGGCCCCACGGCTCAGCTGCTGGCTAACGCGCCTCAGCGCTGGGCCCCGCCCCCTGCCCGTGGGAGCCGAGGCTGGAGCTTTGGCCCTGCCCTGTGCCTGCCCTGGCCACTGCCGGCATCGGGTGCGCCAGCAGGTGATCTGGGCAGAGAGAGGGGTCGTCTGCGCGGCTTCACTCCCCAGGGGACCGTAACCCCCCGGGCGGGGCCCCGCGGGGCTCCCAGGTGGGCGCGGGGCAGG